GCTGCTGTAAAACCTCATTTAATCACATCACATAACAAATGACGCACCATGCACTGTTTCGCACAGTGATTTCAGTGATCCGACGAATATATTCATGCAAGATTCATATTCATTTATAGTACGTGTCTCCGAAACAAAGGGGAATAGTCACGTGTATAATCAAGTTCTGTGATACACCGAAAAGCTAGAAGAATAACGTGTAAAATGAGGACATATAGTTAACTATGACGAGGAGTAATATAATATAGAATCACTAAAGATCACGCTTGGTTATTTTCAGTACGGGTTGATGAATAATTGCTCTAACAACAACAACGCTTTAGATAGCGTACGCAACGCTCCATTGCATCAGACATAGTATAACCTTATTGAGCTCACGCACCTTAAAAGCTCCAGTTTTTTGAAAATTTTCACACTTAAAGAARAGYGATYTTYCGGCCATTTTGTYGAGGGTAGAGCATGTCATTACAGGCGTATGGTTGATGAATGGACCAATCCTAATGGCTGCATCTTGAACGTCTAGTAAAGTCACAGTCTTCTTTTCATTACCCGACGTGACAATCTTTGACATGGTGCTTGCAGTCTAATTCAGATAACCTTATGATAAACAAAATACATCATAAATATTCAACTTTAACTCTCACCAAGCTAGTAATATCTATAAAACATATATTTCGTGGTTTTGTACGATCGTCGGCGACGATTTAAGTTGCCGGATTTCAAAACGTGGGGAACTGGGCATATAAGACTTAAATAGAAAGGAAGCCCCTTGTTGAGAAATGCAAAATTCCAAAATTTGATGTACATGTAAATCATTATCAATCATTAGTTCAATACGAGTTACAGCCTTTCAAATATTCTAAAATTTCCAAAGAAATGTATGTGTTCTTGCGAATGTCTCCGGAAAATGGTCAAAATGCGGACACATTCACGGCTTCTCAAACATTTCTTTGGAAATTTTAGAATATTTGAATATGTCCGTAACTCGTTCACTATTGAACTGATTGACGCCAGATTTTTGAATTTTGCATTTCTCAACAAGGGCTTTCTTTCTATGTAAGTGTTATCTCGTGATTATCCAATACACCTTTTCAGTTGCACTTAGGCCTCGATAGCAAGTTAATTATTCTTTTGAATTTAACAAATGAGACTATTCATATCAATGTGTGCATTGCTCACATTCCTACAAATTCAAAAGAATATTTAACACGCTGTCGAGGTCTAAGAACAACTAAAAAGGTGTGGTTTTGCCCAGTCCCCACTCGGTACATATCGATTGCAGTTTGTTGTCGATCGAGCACAGGAAGTCCAAGAGTCTGACAGAATGTCACGGAAAACTAGGTGTCCGGGAGTCAAAATAATGTACCAAGTTCACGGGAGAATGTAAATCCAGTTTAATTAAAGATACTTTATTGCATTTAGGTGTAGATAGTCTTCCTTTAGACCAAATCCAATTCACAATTCAAAGCTTCTTCATCGCTAGTCATAGTTTACAGTCGTGTCTGACCGATCCCGGACAGAATGTCACGACTGACTAGATTTCCGGGAGTCAAAATAATTAACTAAAATCACGTCAGGGTCCCCGACATAGCTAGAGACACTTCGAAAATCTTTTCTGTGAACTGGGGACGGAACCTGTGCCTCTTGGGATTAGGTACCGAATGAACGAGACACTCCGAATTTAATATTTACTTGGCACTAGTAGTACTATTGTTATGTCTAGATTGTCATGTGCGTATTTGAGCGCCACCAGAGAATTACAACTGATTTCCTTCCAAGACTAATCAATCCATTGTTANACGAGTTACAGCCTTTCAAATATTCTAAAATTTCCAAAGAAATGTATGTGTTCTTGCGAATGTCTCCGGAAAATGGTCAAAATGCGGACACATTCACGGCTTCTCAAACATTTCTTTGGAAATTTTAGAATATTTGAATATGTCCGTAACTCGTTCACTATTGAACTGATTGACGCCAGATTTTTGAATTTTGCATTTCTCAACAAGGGCTTTCTTTCTATGTAAGTGTTATCTCGTGATTATCCAATACACCTTTTCAGTTGCACTTAGGCCTCGATAGCAAGTTAATTATTCTTTTGAATTTAACAAATGAGACTATTCATATCAATGTGTGCATTGCTCACATTCCTACAAATTCAAAAGAATATTTAACACGCTGTCGAGGTCTAAGAACAACTAAAAAGGTGTGGTTTTGCCCAGTCCCCACTCGGTACATATCGATTGCAGTTTGTTGTCGATCGAGCACAGGAAGTCCAAGAGTCTGACAGAATGTCACGGAAAACTAGGTGTCCGGGAGTCAAAATAATGTACCAAGTTCACGGGAGAATGTAAATCCAGTTTAATTAAAGATACTTTATTGCATTTAGGTGTAGATAGTCTTCCTTTAGACCAAATCCAATTCACAATTCAAAGCTTCTTCATCGCTAGTCATAGTTTACAGTCGTGTCTGACCGATCCCGGACAGAATGTCACGACTGACTAGATTTCCGGGAGTCAAAATAATTAACTAAAATCACGTCAGGGTCCCCGACATAGCTAGAGACACYTCGAAAATCTTTTCTGTGAACTGGGGACGGAACCTGTGCCTCTTGGGRTTAGGTACCGAATGAACGAGACACTCCGAATTTAATATTTACTTGGCACTAGTAGTACTATTGTTATGTCTAGATTGTCATGTGCGTATTTGAGCGCCACCAGAGAATTACAACTGATTTCCTTCCAAGACTAATCAATCCATTGTTATTATTATAGGTCAACGGTAGAAATTTTTGAAGTTATTTCACCTACTTTTTTACGGTGTTAAATTTACCTTTTTACACAACTATTGTTAGTGTTGCCCTGAATTCAACTATACAGTACTTACCCACTTTATAACACTGGAAAAAATCGCGCGCGTTATACTAAATTTGATACACATATGATTAAGTGTCCAAAATTCTGTAAATTTAATGGAAATCATTTGCATCAAATTTACAGAATTTTGGACACTTACATCATATTTACATTATATTTACAATCTTTAAGGCGCGCGATTTTTTCCAGTGTAACAACCTGCAATTCAAGAATCTGTTTGTCTAAAACTATAATCAATTTTTAATAGACCTCATTTACACTTAAGAACCTATTTAGCCTTAAATTTGAAAAAAAGTTCTTAAAAATTAACCTTAAAAAATCTTCATGCGAAAAAAAACACACAATGAACTTGTATACACTTTTAAATGTGGTGTAAATATTTTGAAAACCTTGTAAATTTTCATTCCATAAGAAGACATAAAAACTACATAAGCCCTGTCTTCAGTGATGAATTAAAAGTACAATATGTGTCTCTTTGATGAGTTCAATGTTCTGTACCATAATGTTATCTCTTTTGGAAGTAATCTTTGTAAATGCCAGGTCGGTTTTGGCATTAATATACATGCCACCTTTCAGGTGTATAATACATTTCTCATTAATAAGAACCTGCAATTTAAGATCAYTATGCACCTGATATAAAGAAATCTGCAATTAGGGATTATGRAGCAAGGCTCGTAGATCATGGAATCACACTAAAAGTGCGTAATATGAACAAGACATTAATACATTAATTTGATTGCAATTACTGATATTGTGCTTTTACAAGAAGATCATAACCATACAATCGACATACAAACCAAACCAAACCAAACCAAACCAAACCAAACCAAACCAAACCAAACCAAACCAAACCAAACCAAACCAAACCAATAACAACAACAACAACAACAACAACAAAACAATACTGAAAATTGCAATTGTCTCCGTGATAATCTTCGTTCCGTGATATTTTYCCATCAAAGTCAATATCTGAATTTTAACATTGTTTTGCAAAATCAATGGCAGCTTTGTTAAAAATTATATTATTAGCAATAAATTTTTATGTGAGCAACTTATATGTTTATGAATATAAGATAAATAAATGAGAGATAAATGAGAGATTCAATCTCGAAATTCCCTATTACGCATGCATGGTAATAGGCTCTGGAGTACTTGAAGTATTTACGATCTTTGATTTGTATAAATAGCCTAATTCTTCAATTTATTTTCTTGACTCGTAAAAATCAGAGAAAAAATTCAAATACTACTGCGCATATGCTGCAATAGCCCAGGCTCAGGTAGTTGGAATAACTCAGAGCCTATTATCCACGTCGCGCGTGCTTGAGATTGAAAAGGCTCTGAAAACAAACGAGAGATGACTAGATATGACTGCCTTCAATATTGTAGAACATAAGAGATGCAGCAAAAAATTCATGAAGAGAGATTGGCTCCAACGCGCAATTGATTGCTACATGTAACAATGAAGACGTCATGGCAGTTCAGGGTACCATAGCCCTTGAATTACTCGAACAGGTATCAGCCTCTATAATCACTAGTAAATCCATCCGACGTGAAGTCTCCAGGTTAGAAATGTTAGAATAAGAGAGCTAGTGGTTGGATTATGGGTGATAATGGTGGGAATTAGCGATAAACTAGTGTGAGCTGCGTCGGTGTCTAAAGAAACGTTTGTGTAAAAAGATAAATTTAACACCGTAAAAAAGTAGGTGAGATAACTTACTGACGTTTCACTTATGGATGATAATACTATCTTTATCAACGAAGTGCTCCAAGTGCTGACAAAGACAAAGAAATTGAATATAAGCTTACAGTTGTAATAGTGGATGGAAGAATGACGAAGKTACTTTTATGAATTCGTGTCCACTCTGATCACATGACACCACGATCTTACTAGATTACCAAGCTGATCTACATAGTGGGTATTGGCAGGTAGAGTTAATCTATGTAAAGTAGAACAGGGGGACGAACAGGGGTCGACAATACATACTGACTATGTCTATGGAGTTTAGAGTTAATAGTGCTTATTTTGACGCTTCTAAAGCTGTTTTCTCATTATTATAAAGGGAAGATATCTAACTACCTCTAGAAAGAGTAAAAAACCTCTCAATTTCATATGGCGACGGACTAGAAATCAAATTTGCAAGTTATCATTGAGCTTAAAGAACGCTTATTTAATATTTAATTAATACAGACCGATGCATGATATTTTCGATATATGTTTCATAGGTGCCAGAAATAGATGCCATTATTGCCCCTGTAGGAAGTGGTGGGATGTTGAGTGGAAACTGTATAGCTTCTAAAGGGTTAAAGCCTGGTATCAAGATATTTGC